CCTCACCAACACCATAGTTCACAGTTAATTCATAGTTCATTCCTCACCAACACCACAATTCACAGTCAATTCATAGTTCATTCTTGTGGCAAACACCATAATTCAAAAACGTCGACTCTTCTTTGGTTTTCCTTATCCATTGTCCAGCTTTCACATACACATGAGGCAACTGAAAATACCTGGCTTGGGCCAGGCGTACCCTAGTCTTCAAAGTGACATCTTTGCTTCTTAACACTTTAAAGAGGTCTTTTGCAGCAGACTTGCCAGTTCAATACATCATACTGTTTCCATGGGTGTTGATTGTGGACCCAAGTAAAATGAAATCCTGACAACTTCAATCTTTTCTGCATTTATCGTGATGCTGCCCATTGGTCCAGTTGTGAGGATTTTCCTTTTCTTTGTATTGAGGTGTAGTCCAGACTGCAGAGTGCAGTCTTCCGTCTTCATCAGTCAGTGCTTCATGTCCTCTTCACTTTCAGTGAGCAAGGTTGTGTCATGTGCATGTTGCAGGTTGTCGCAGGGAAGAGGTAACCACGGGGAGGAAGTGGGAAGACAGCTGCTAAATTGTGGGGAACTCAGTCAATGTCATGAGACAAAACGTATGTGGACTGTTGTGTGGAAAATGGATTTGCTCTGTCCACTTTCACCCAAATCACAAGGAAAATTTGGAAAAAGACACAAGCCCTGTGGAGCCCACTTCTGCTGTGACACTCGTGGGTCACCATGGGTCAGGGTCAGCCGGCAGCACCTGGCTCCCCCACCCCTGTAGGCCCGTGTCTGGCTTCCTTGCTCTTCTTTTCTTAAGATTTAATTTTTCGAGCAGTTTTAAGTTCACATAAAAATCGTGCAGAAAGTGCAGTCCCCACCCCCACACACTGTGACACTGTTTCTCTGTCATGGTTCATTGGTGGATGTATTTTTCACAACTGATAAAGCAAAGCTGATCCATTATTATCCGTAGCTCTGTTCTCTGTAGAACACTGACATATGTGTGTGTTTAGTTGTTTCTTGTCTCTGGGAAGGTAGGGACCTGTCTCGTAGTCGGCATCCAGGCCACATGTGTCCATGGTCAGAGGCAGGTCCAGGGAGGTGGTGGCATCTTCTGTGCTTGAACCATGCTTATGTGACAGTTTGGGGTCTCGGAGGCTTTCAGGTTTTTTTCTTTCTGTCTGTGGGGTGTTTATTCACAGAAAAAAAAATATTTAAGGCTGGTTTTTAAACATTTATATACCATTTATTAAAGCTACACATTTCAAAATCTATTTGCTTGAAGCCCTTATGTGAAGCTTAGAGACCTTATTATTAGGGTTATAAATCTCATAAAAACAAGAGCACTCATCTTTCCTCTCTCTTTGATGAATGTTTGGTTAGCTCAGGGTGAGCAGATTAACACCATTAAACAACCCGCTGGATTTGCACCTTTAGTTGATTAAATTCCCTTAAACCTTTTCAAAGCTTACTTATAAATGTAACATTTTTTATGTTCTTTTTAAGCACTTAATGCCTGATTCCCTGGCAGAAATTCCCACAAGTACTTAAAAAGGTCCAGCATAGCTCAT